CGGCAACTTTTTGGAAATTCAGCAACTTTTCGGCAACTTTTTGGCAACTTTTAGACACTTTTATCGACAACATTTTTGGGATTCATCGGCAACTTGTGGCTAGGTCTACCATCTGACCTCATGAAATCCTCGCATTCTCCACAAGCGCATTTCCTTCTTACTATTCCTCGCACATCCTTGCCCATTTTCAAGTTTTCGCCATGCAACGCCACGCAATTAACTGCTTTGTACGCAGACACGGTTATGTCAGCAACACTTCCGGTCAGTTATTTTCACTTCCGGTTATTTTTGTCTTGGAAGAGGTGGGGGGAGGGTCAAATCCTTTTGTTTAGGCATTTATGAAGGGTCATGCATTAATCCAATTTGGAAATTGGGAGGGCCAAGACGTTCTTGGCAAAAAATTTCTAAAATACCCCGGCCCACCCCCCTCCCCCCCAATAAAAAACGTACCTTCCCTAAATCAAATCTCTTTTGACTGAAAAATACCGGACAGATTTGGCGGGAAACTGCCTACAGTCGAGTGATCACGGCGAATTATTCAAGTATAGCCGAGCTTGATACCAAGATATGGGACTTAGGGAAAGAATAATGGTTATATAATTTAATTTCTGTCTTGCTACCCTAAATATTGCACCAACAGCAGTGTTATTGAAAAGTATTGAATAGCCCTCCAGGTTTGAGTATTCTATACATGTACCTGAGGGTTATTTTTAAGTTCATCTGTACCCTCCTGAGTGGTGTATACATGAGGGTTACTTTTAATCCTTTCTATACCCTCTTGGGTAGTGTATACCTGAGGATTACTCAGTTAATCTCCTCTATACCCTCCTGGGTAATATACCTGAGGCCACCCTCCTGGGTAATGTATACCTGAGCTACTTTTAATCTTTTCTATACCCTCTTGGGTAGTTTATACCTGAGGGTTACTTTTAATTTATTCTATACCCTCCTGGGTAGTGTACACCAGTGAGTTTCTTTTCCTTCCACAGTAGACGGAGAAATAGCCAAACAGCATGGTGCATTGATTAGGGATCATGAATGGGTTGAGGTATAGCTTATCAATGTAGAAGGAAAATAGTCGTAACCTGAACGTTACTCTATGCGTAATCTAAACATATTTATGCGTGACATAAACCCATTTCAAAATAGTTATGTCACACATGAAATATTTCTAGCTTTACATATTTTTCTGCCTGTTTCCTGGACGCTTTACCGCGTGGTTTGTGAGCGCAAACCCGTAGATGTAATTTTTTACGAAATGTAATATTGTGTTTCGGTATATATACAGGTTCTGCCGCTCCAAAACTGTCGCATTTAAAAGGTCATAATAAGAATAGAGCGTGTACACGGAACGGAAGGCGTCCGTTGAGAGCGATGTGTATTCTCTGGCTTATTTAATCAATAATAATAATGATAATAATAATAATGACAATAAAAATAATAAGATCAATTTCTTTAGCGCATTTCCATGCAATGTTCTAATGCGCTTTACAACACTGTGCGGGGGACTTTTGTCCACACTGCCAGCGGCAATGCAATTTATGGACCTTTAAAGTTCAATATATGTACTGTTCAAAGAAGGGCTTTTCGGAGTTAGCCTTAAATAGGCCGTTGATCACGGAAGTGATTGTTCGTGTTGTATTTTGCAGTGACATTCGGCCTGGACTATTTCTGGCCATTGTGTTAGCGAATTACTGATTGTTTCGCTTAAGACATTGTTTCTACAAAGAGAATAAGCTTAGTAAACCACTCACGCTCCAGGCTATTTCGAAATAGGTCCTTGAAGATTTCTTACGAAATTTCCCTTGACTATTTTATCTGGACAATGTGCAACCAATTAGTGTTGTATCTGGAAAATGATTTAAAATGTAATTATCGGAAGTTGCGGCTTTTTTCACTTCAGTCGAGGGGAGCTTTAATTACATTTTTTGAGGCGATTATTGTCCTGGAGTGTTCAGTGGTGGTTTGGAAAATAAGGAATGCCGGAATTCGGAACCGGAACCGGAATACTCGGAATACCCGGAATTCCCGGAATGACCGAAAAATAATAAATTTAAAAAAATAAAAGTAAATAAATAAATAAATAAATAAATAATATCGATGATTAAAAAATAATAGTAAGTTCACAATTTAATTAAATAATTTGATGCGTAATTTTTCTCTGAGAGTCCAAAAAAAAAACACTTACCGGCACTGGTCATGGAGATGCCCGTATTAGAATTTAAAAAAGTCTGCGTCAGGCTAGTAGCCCCATACAGCTCCTAAGTCTGTAGGTCTTTATTCTTCTTTTTCACATTACCCAAAATACCTTGCGCTTTGGGGGGTAACTTTGGAGCCCTAGTTACAAGCAAAATGGCGGCTCCAACCAAACAAACGGATTTAAA